GAACTAATTCAATAAATAGAACAGGTATCACATTGGAAGATGGGTATTTGCCTAGGAATTATGATAGCGTTCGTTCATGCATCCAGAGTTTTAGACTATTGAATCGGAAGATTGGTAGGATTAAACCTGGATAGTGAGATTAGACTTGGAAGAGTTAATCTCTACCTTAGAGCTTGAATTCCCTGGATTGGATAGATAAACCATTAAGTTTATATCTTTTGAAAGATCCTTGCATGTAAAGCAATCCCGAAGTCTGCAGTGTTTATCATTCATAGTTTACAACAGTTTTTATTGTTTGCTTTGCTACGCTCTCGCACTCATATTATCTTCTCTGGATCTAGATTTGGATTGAGATTTCATTCATTGTCTACTTGTCCCTGTGTTCGACCCTAGCGACTGCATACGATCTGTACACTTGCGGTATTTGTTGAGTCTAGGAATATTATTACTTGATCATATTTCTGCACCTAGATTTACGACATCACCAAGCAAGCTCCAGAAAATAGTAACAGCCCTACGTGTGTGATCCTGTAGACCCATCCAACGCAGACATAGTTCCGAAACCATTTCGAACTAATAATCATAGGTGGTCTCTAGCAAGACACTATGACTTTCTTGTCAAACTAGATTAGTATGATCTAACGAGGCAAGTAACATTCAACACTTGTGTCCTTTTTGTTACATGATATCATAAGTCAAAACAGAGACATGGAACAAGTCATCTCGTCACATTTTGACTGCTTTCTCGTTCGTTGAGTTAACTGAACCTACATATGACTCTTCATCTGTTTGCCTTTTTTAAATTTGAATTTGTATGTAATAATAAACGACAGAGAATGAAATCAATAATCATTTTATTTATTTGAGAGCCCCTCTCTTTAGGTATTACAACACCATTTCTAAACTCATCGGATTCTCCGTGTCATTCTCGTGACTTATCAAATGTTAACTCCTTGAAAACAGTGCGCAAAACGGTGAAATAGTGCGCAAAACGTCTGTCCCGCTCTGAATTCAAACCTCAAGTTTGGAGAAGGAACGCATAATCTAAATCACATGGTTTACTCCCGATTCCAAAATTAGTTTGGTCATTGGTCTAGAATACTCGGTTATCCAAAAAAAAAAAAAAATCTTTGCAATACCGACGTCTAGATCTAGGTTTCTTGTTTCCCAAGTCACTAGTTGAATTTGTTTCTCAACTAAAAAACATAGCACAAAGATATCAAACCGAGCTCAATTTGTGAACTGATTCATTGCCGGCCCATTTTTAAACGATAAAGACCGAAAATGATGATGAAAATATATATAACTTAGAGAAGAAATATCGGACGATTTCAGCTCTGATAAACTTGATTTATAGGTTCTGTAAAATATTTATTTTCATCATTGTGATTACCAAATGATATTTTTGTTTTTAAAACATGAAAGCATGAGCCATTCAATGATGAGCCGGGCAGGGGTAGCCGCAGATGCAAGTGCCCGCCTTGCCGCCGCGGTCGCAGTGAGCAACTGCCTTTGGTCCATGCTTTGAATGGCACTCTTTATTGCAGTCTATTTTCCCACACGAGCCGAGCACTTCTCCACACGCCGAGCTCTCATCAACTGTATGTAATTCCATGTCACGTTATTACTATCATATACATATATCACACATTGATACACAAATTTTATTTTAAAAAAAATCTAAATAAATACACAAAAACCGTCATGAAATTAAACCCTAAAATTTTTAAACCACTTCCAAATACCACTATAATATGGTAGTTTTGAATGTATAAATTAAGAAAAGTTCGTGTATATTTTTGAATTTTTAAAATTCATTTATTTACAAATTCATATATTAATATGCGATTTTCTGTGCAAAACATAATATTGTATATATATGAGGAATGAGTGATGACGAGAAAGGACTCAGTGACTCACTCAAGACAGAGGAGACGAAGAGGATCATGAAGCAGAACGCTGCGGTCTTGCATGGACTCATCTTTCTGAATAAAACTTGAAAATCTTTTATTTGTTTTTTCTTTTCTGAATGTTTTTTATATGAACATATTATTGCTTGGATTGTGTCTTATTTATAGGCATTGGTAATAAAAGAAAAATTCCTTGGTGCTTGTTATGAGGTCCGATTCTTTTTTAATTGAAAAGAATCCTAAAGATATAATTTCCCTTTATTGTATTAATTAAGTTGTTCCAAGAGAAATATACAAATAACGGACGAGTAAATACATAACGGCTATTACATGCAAATCAGCCAAGAATCAATGGCCAAGATTCCCTACGGATTATCCATTAGAATATATACGCACACACGCCAATGCATTAAAATATTTGGTAGCATCCCATACATTCTAAAAATTAAACTAAACATAAATGCAATGGACCTCCATGTATAAAGAGGTGGACGAGTTTTGTCAGCCAGGGCTCAATAAAAACAATTCTATTTATATAATAAATTTGTTGTACAAATGTTTGACTTCCATTTAGAGATTAGGTGTGCAATTTTTTTTTTGTTAGTTAGGCTCACTACAAAATATTTATATTTCTTAAATTTGTTGGTACGTACAATTGTATGAATACCTAGTTTTGAGTTTTTTTAATAAAAAAATTCGGATATACTCCATTCATTTCAAAATATTTGTTATTTTAGATTGTTTCACATTTTTTAAGAAAATAGATCAAAAGTCACATATACCCTTATTTAATGATAAAAACAATGCAATCATTAATAATGTATTGCAATTTGGTAGGGATAAAATTACAAATTATTATAAAACAATGTCTGACATTGAAAATGTAAAACTACAAAATATTTTAAAACATAGAAAATAACCTAAAACTACAAATATTTTGAAACGGATGGAGTAACAATTATGAATACCTCATGTAAATTTAAATGAATATGATCATTTTTATAACAATTAAAATATTCATATTTAACACACACATTTGTGTAAGTTTCTTTTATAACTTCTAAGCAGTTATTGTTGTAAGTGTTGTTATGTATGTCGTGAGCCTTTTGTTTCTAATGGGCAACTTCTGTTACATCCTCAATGCGCTACATCAACAAGTAATGACTAAAATACCTTCCCCTTAAAAAAAATTTGAACTTCTAATGTACCCTCTTCAATAAGTAATGACTAAATACCCTTTTGTATTTATTTATTTATTTTTTTTTAAATTCTCCTAAAAATTAGGGTTTAGTTGTCTCTCTCCTATCTCTTTCCAGTTTCTTTCTCCCGCCTCTCTCTCCCTCATCGACACTGAGTTCTCTCTCTCCTACACTTTTTCCTTTGAATCTTTCGATTTTTTCTCTTAAATCGTTAGAAATCAAAGCAAAATCAATGCCAAATTAGCGAAGAAGTTGAAAATAGGTAAGCAATTGTGAAAATCTTATTCTTTTTCACATTGATGGTTATTGGTGTTTATTTCATGAACAGTGATGTTTCTTTCACCTTTTTTCTTCTAATTGTTGATGTTTTTAAAATTTTATCTTTTGTAGTATAGTATAATCATAGTTCCCGGTCGGATCTGGCTTTGAAATATTGTTTCTAGAGTATCACTATACAAAAAAGTCGGTCACATTAAAGAGAAGTTGATGACATGGTCACACGGTCATAAAGTGACATGGTCACATTAGTCATGGGTCATTAGAATAAAGGTTCTCATAGGTTTCAAGGATGACATGGTATTATCTTCACATGGTCATATGTAGGGGTGTAAAATGGGTGGGCCAGGCCGGCTTGGGCTGGATTCGATTCGGGCCTAGATTTTTTCGGGTCGGACCGGTCCGCCCATTTAATTTTTGGGTCTATGATTGGTGGCCCAGAGCCCGGCCCTACAGGATTTCGAGCGGGTTCGGACCGGGTTTCAGACTTTTTTATTAAATAGAAATATTTTTCTATGACGATAATAATAATAATCATAATAATAATAACAACGTGAAACATTCAACAAAAATATTTTAAAACGAATAACAATTAAGTATTTAGTTCAAAAATATTTTTAAAACCAATAATAACAAAGTATTAGTTCATAAAACAAATAAAGCTGAAAAATTTAGTCGATTGATCAATTCTCCGATACCACCTCCGGCAAGATGACCATAGGTGATAATGAAGTTGATAGAGTGTCGTCAATACTACTTCTGGAATCTACACAATACGACAACTAAAGAAACAAATATAAGTTAAACACTTACACTTAGACATATAAACAACTAAACAAAATGGATAATAAAAAAATATAGACTTTACCATATTCTTCGAAACCAAATAACCAAGAACGAGTGCAAAGGAGAGCTTGGACATTTGTAGGTAAAAGGTGACTTATGTATTTGTTTAAAACACGAGAACCAACGCAAAAAGACGACCCTGAAGTAATGGTAGTGATAGGAATACTGAGAATGTCAGATTCCATAAAAGCCAATGCAGTACCATATTGTGCTTCATTGATCTTCCAAAACTCTAAGATATCCATATCTTTATATCGATGTAAATCTATAGTAGGATCCTTTAGATATTTATCCAAATCCGTTTTTAATCCATCGTCTAAAGAAGTCTTGGTTTTCCATCCACTTAATTCCTAAATCATATAAAAAAGTTGAAAACATTACAATAGAAAAAATCTAATAACAAAATAAGAAACACAAATTTAAAAAGAAAAAGAGAACTTACATCAAATTGAGTCGAACCTTGTTTATCCTCCTTTGAACTGTTATCTTGTGAAATAGATAAACTCTTAGAAGTTGATATCACAAATCTTTTTTTGTATTCTTCAAAGATTAAATACATCTTACTCTTCACTTTATCCACCTTTGATTGACTACTTTCCTCGTCAAGTTGATCATAAAAGAATTTCAATGCTTCCAACTTCATACTAGGATCAAGCACGGATCCTATGGAAAGAATGATACTATATTCTTCCCAATATTTATCGAATTTCACCTTCATTCGTTCATCCATGCTTTTAAGAAGCTCGTCTTCACCTCCTACATACTCTTTCAAAAGCATTTCAATCTTCCAAACTTTCATGAAATACAAGTTAGAAGTCGGATACTTTGAACCAGACATCATCGTCGTAATATCATCAAACGGCTTCAAGAAGTCACGTATTTTTTCTCCCCTGATCCACTCTTCATTTGTTGGACAGAACTTGTAATTTCTATCAATCAAAACAAGGCTACTAAAAGCATATCGATGATTGAGAGCACTTACAAGCATCATATGAATAGAATTCCAACGTGTTGCCACATCCATATACAAAGAAGCTCTAATATTTCCACCAACTTGCTCCACACATTCATCAAACGCTTTCATCCTTGCCTCTGACGCTCTAACATATTTCACACTTTCTCTAATCTTGTCTAGAGCATCACTAATCACCTTCAAACCAGCTTGCACTATGATATTCAAGATATGTGCACAACATCTGATGTGAAAGAATTCACCTTCGCACAATAAACTATTTTGCAAAGAAAGTTGGTGTTTCAAGATGTCTTGCATACTATCGTTGGCTGAAGCATTATCCAACGTGAGAGAAAAAATCTTTTTCTCTATTCCCCAATCTTTCAAACAACCAAAAATCTTCTTAAATATCTCCGTTCCTGTGTGAGAGGGGGCTAATGTACAAAACGACAGTATCTTACTATTCAACTTCCAATTCTTATCAACATAATGTGCAGTCATACAAATATATCCTTCATTTGTGATAGCTGTCCAAAGATCAGAAGTTAAACATATCCTACTACGAATATTAGCCAATTGAAGCTTCAACTTGTCTTTCTCATCCTCATAAAGCTTCATAACATCGCTAGAAGCAGTGTTGTTGCATATCATTTTGATATCTGGGTTTGCAAATAATATCAACTCTTTGAACGATGCATACTCAACAAAAGCAAACGGCAATTCATGGTATATGATCAGCTTAGCAAGCTTTTCCCTCCAAATTTTCTAATCTATCTTCTTTGTCATTAGCTTCCCCTCATGGTCAATTAACATATTGGCTACATTTTCAAACTTAGGTTTTTTCGTGCAACGCTTAAGATGCCGTAATAAATGCGATGTCCCGAGAGATACAGAAGCCGCATAGTTATTACCACAATAGTTGCAAGTGGCATTTACACTATCAACCCGAGTCATATGATTCCAAACACTAGAAATCTTTTTCCGCTTTCTACCACTTATTTGAGTTTCGATTTCTTCAGGTTGAGATAATCCAGCATCGGTACCACACTCTAATTTTTGGTGTTCATACTCAATTGCGTCGACATCCATTGCGATTAAAAAAAATTAAACCTGATAAAAAAATCATCACATGTATATGTCAAATATTATTTTCTTTGAGAGTTTAGTTGCCAAACATATACATAAACACCCATCGTGTTATATAATCTACTATATTATATATCCTACTAATTAAACATAATTAACTGTAAAAAAACAAATACGGGAAAATGGCAAATAAATACATCAATTTGGTAAAAACTTATCAATAAATACATCAATTTGTAAACTGCCAGATTAATACATGAAATTGCAATTTTTTGGCAAAATCCTACAAGGACGCTGACGCCGTTACCCGTTTAAATTTTTCCGTCACGAGACAATGACGTGTATATACAATTTTTGACACGTCAACCCACGTGTCAAATGTACTAAACCATGATATAAAAAATTGATCCGTTTTAATAAAATAAAATTAAAAACCACTTTCCAATTAAAAAGGGATATTCTTCTATTTTCACTCATCTCCATCGTTCTACAGAGAGAGAGAGAGAAGGAGAGACATAAGCTTTGTTCTTCTTCTCTAGTGGCGATTTTGTGTCTGTGTTGAAGTGTAGAGGTAAGATCATTCTTTGATTTTGTTTTCTTTTTGTATTTATATTTTTCTGTTAAAGATTTGACCCCCACACCTTAATATACAAAAAGTTAGGGTTTTCCTCCATGGTTCTTTCCGCTGGGTTGTTCATCGATTTGGTGCGTATCACGATGGTTGATTCAGTTGGGGTTTTTTTAATGTAGTTTCTGATTTTCTGTTTGTAGGGTCTAATTTTTTGAAAAAAGGTACAGATATGAGTTTTTCGTAATCAAATTCGAGTTCAAAATCAGTTTGGAGAAGAAGAGAATCATATCAATGTAGAGGTTTACCGAAGATATGTCAATGTGGAAGCTCTATTGCAATGCATATATCGAGAACTGAAAATAACCCAAGGAGGGTTTTCTTCCGATGTTCTTCGCAGGAGGTTAATTGGTTCAACGATGTCTTTGATAATTTTTTAGAATTTTTACTGAATTCAACTGCTAAACTGTATGTTGTGTATTAGGGTAATTGTGCACATCTATTCAAATGGGTTGACGAGGCTTTGGTCGAACAAATGGAAGACTATGGAGAGGAGCTAAGCAAAGTCAAAGTCTAGTTCGGAAAAAAAGAGAAGACTGATATGGAAAAGAGAGAGGAGAAACAAGATTATCGAGAGGAGTTGCAAAAGCTTATAGTTCAGATGGAAAAAATGAAGTTTGAGATAGAAGAGTTAAGAGGTTTCAAAAGTAATGTAGTTGTAGTTGTCGGAGTTGTCGGGGTTATAGCTTTGGCAATCATATACTACTATGGATTACTACTTATTTGATGTATTTTGGACGTATGTATCAATTGGAGAAGACAATTATGATGTATTAGTTAGAGAAGACAAGATCATTATATATGTTATTTGTGAAGAAAACATTGGATGAAACATTTATCGGATAACATGCTTACAAAATATTCAAGTCTTACATAACAGTTACATAAGTGAACAAAAGATGAAAAGATGTCTGATTACATTAGAAAGGTATCCGATTCTGCATGTTTCACCCGAGCAAGCAACAAGTGATTATGCTTCCGGTTGGCTGCGAGATGTCGAGGGTCCATGAACCGACCTTGGAGCTTGGAATGGACGACCGGTATGCGGAGCTATGAAGTTAGCTGGTCCAATAGGAAAATGATTGGGGCGACTCATTTCGATAGTCAAATGTCGACGCCGACGGCGAATTCCGGTCGATTGAGAAGTCTGGCTCGATTGTGTTGTGACCCCAATACCTACAGTCATTGATATATCAAACAATTGACCATGTTAGTTAAGACAATATGTAAGTTTATACCTCGAACTGAACTGGAATTTGAGGGCGTTTGTGATGGTTGTGGTCGTTGTTGAGATTGTTGAGGTGGTGTTGGTTGTTGTTGAGCATGTTCAGTATGTTGTGGTTGATGATGTTTTTTTGGTTGACCACGCCCTCTCTTTTGTCGATGCATCTGTAAGGGCTCATTTTTACAACCCTTCGCATTGTGTCCGATTTGTTTACATCGACTACATGTAAACACCCTCCCATGTCTCGACATCTTTCCAGGTCTGGTTGGAGATTCATGAGGATCCTTCCGGCGGTGAAATTTCTTTGGCCGACCACGCATACCTCTGTCCTCTGGTACATCAAGAGGAGTCTTGCCTGTTTTGTGCCACATAGTTTGTCCATTTACAGGCATCAAGTTGTCTGAATATGTTGCTGTCCATTTGGTTGTCAAATAATACTCAGAGACAAATCTGTAAAAAAGCAGAAGTAAAGAAACCAACTCCATAAATAATACCAGATACGAAGATATGAATAAGTGAGAGTAAATATTCAGAGACATACCCAGAAATATTGGCTTCTTTCTCATGGATTACAGATAGGGCATGGTGACACAGTACCCCAGTCAAATCCCATCTTCGGCAAGCACAACTCTTTCCAGTAAGGTCAACACCATAAGTAATACCGAATTCCATTACTTCATACATACCTCGTCTACCTGGAGTTACAGTGCAATACTTTGTCCTTTCACGAGCACTCCCTAACGCCAATACTGCTTTGGGACTGAATTCTTTATTCCATTTACTGGATTCCACACATCTTTTTGCAATACGTTGCATTGTTTGCCTTCGTATATCTTCTAGCATATCGATCACTGGCCTTAACCGTGCGGCTTTTATAGTCCTGTTGAAACTTTCAGACAAGTTGTTATGCACATCTCCACATTGAGACCCTTCTTTGAAGAACGAACGGGCCCATTGCTCTGGACGTTGTCGGACCAATGCTTCATGGGCCATAGGGTCTTTATCCTTCAATTCATCCATTGCTGTTGCATATTCAACGCTATGAAAACTGGTAGCAACTTTCCAAAATAGCAGCTTCAAGTCAAGCCCCTTGAACACCTTTTTCCAATTGGCATACACGTGACGGGCACACATTCGGTGTTCAACAAGTGGTAGCTCATTTTCGATGGCATTCATCAAACCCTGAAACATGGCAACTGAATAGTTAGTATGAAACCCGATGTTATTAAGTAAGTGTTTATGAGACATATATACCTTTTGCTTGTCAAAGAGAATTGTAATATGTTCTCCTACTCCAAGACATAAATCAGATTTTAATTTGCGCACAAACCAATTCCAAGTGTCACTAGTTTCGGCATGAACTACTGCCCATGCAATAGGATAGATGCGATTATCAGCATCTCTTCCAACTGCAGCCAATAATTCTCCTTTTATCTTCCATTTCAGAAAACATCCGTCTAAACCTAAAACTGGATGACAATTCTGCTTCCAAGCCTCCCGTAACACTTCAAAACATACATAGAAACCTTTAAACACACACTTTTGCTCATCAATCGCAATTTCGGTTGAAGTGTTTGGGTTAGATCTATGCAATTCTGCTTCATAGTCCCACAACTTTGCAAATTGTGTCCTTTGATCTTCCGTTACCATTTTCTCTGCCTCGCGTCATGCCTTGAAGCATTTAGTCAGTGGAACTTTCAATTTCCATTTGCGTTTAATCACATATTGCATATCAGCTGCAGAAAATCCTGACATTCTTCTAATGATATCTGAGAACAACTTCGCAATATGTTTAGAAGATAACATAGAAGCAACTCCTGTTGGTTCATGATTATGTCCAGGCTGATATACTTTGATCATCCATTTGTTCACAGGTTTCTCTATTGAGCAATACACTCTCCATCCACAACCTTTATGCGAACATACTGTTGCATATTTATCTTTTTCCCATCTAGACAATCTAACATTGTACTGCGTATCTAAAACATACTGAAACAGGGCATCCTTGAACTCTTCTCCAGACTCAAATATTGTACCCAACAAAAGCAACTCATCACCCTTCCTTAATACTCTAGAAATAGGCACCTTTCTTCTTGGACGCTCAAATTCATCTGTACCCAGCGGAGTTCCTGGACACACATTCTCATTATCAACATATTCTTCATCACTAACATACTCTTCGCAGTTTCTGGCATATTCCTTCAACTCAATCTCTCTAAATATTGCGGTAATAGTTTCCTCATCAAGCTTGGAATTTGCATCAGTTTCTACATTCACATCAACCTCAGGTCCAGCCTCAGGTTCAGCATTAGGTTCAGCATTATCATCCGCTTCAACCCCAACATTATCATCAACACTACCACCCGCTTCGACCCCAACATCGCCTTCAACATTACCACCCACGTCAACCCCAACATCGGCATTAACATTACCTACATCTTCTGCACCAACACCCATGTCTCTCTCTTTCTGCAATTCAACAACTTCACTAAACTCAATCCTTCTGACACAACCTACTTCTTCGGTTCCCTTATCATTCTTTGATTTCTCAGGAGTGACTGGTGTTGCTACCGATTACTCATGATCAATATAAACATCTAACTCTCCCTCCATGGTATCTAAATTATACATTTCTCGCATACTGAAATCAACATTATCCAGAATTACTTTCTTCTCCTCAAGACTTTGATGTGGTAATTTATACCACATCTCACAGATTCGACATCAAATTTTCTTGAATGCATGAAATCTTCGAATACAAACCAAGAAAAATAATCCGGATCCATCTCTACCCCTTTCTCCACAAATCCACCAACATAAGTCCAACGTTCATCAATGAATGCCATAAACCCTCCCATATGGAAATTTATTTTAACTTTCCTACAAAATGAGCAAACAATGATCCAAAAATCACTGTCGATTACACAATTTTCCTAAACCAAACAAATGATATTCAGAAATTTTATATCTAACTTACCCCATGTTTCACCGTCACTTCACCAACAAAAGCTTCGGGTCCCTGTCGATTTCAGTTTGAAAAACAAAACCCCCGTCGATTACATCCGATTTCAAAATCAGAATCGAACATTCAGAATCGACAAATTCCAGAGAATGGAGATGAAATTCAGAAATAGAATCTCTTACCTTTGAAGCACCTACGACGAAATCGACGGTGAAGCACCTCCGACGAAATCACCGGTGAACTTTCAGACCGACGACGATTACACCCTCGGCCGAAAACCCTCTTCGCGCTTTCACCTGCTCTCTTTCGATTTTACTTTTTTTTTCACTTTCACTTAGGTTAAATGGTTATCTTTTTTTTCATCTCGACCGGTTTCGGTATTTGGTTGTATCCAAACCGAGATAATCTGATTTCGATTGAAATTTATTAACCGGCTGCTGATATGGTATAAAAATCTGATGTGGAGTCTACTTAATAAAATTAAGCAAGCCAGGACAACATCATTTAACGAAAAACGTTACCGTCAGCGTCCTTATAGGATTTTGCCAAAAAAATGCAATTTCATGTATTAATCTGGCAGTTTTACAAATTGATGTATTTATTGATAAGTTTTTACCAAATTGATGTATTTATTTGCCATTTTCCCAAACAAATACTAATGTACTAATATTCCATGCTTAATCTCTCATCAAAGACATGTGTATACTCGTAGATATGCATTTTAAGTTGCAAATTATAAAATATTGATATGTTCGATAATCTTTCAGCAAATGACGTAAAACACATATTTTATTATTAAAAAAAAGACTTTGTATGCTTTCATATGATATTAAATACACTATACACATATCTATTATTATATATATATATATATGAGCCAAAGACAAAGCTATACATATGTCTATGATTATATATATATGTATATGACTTTTGACTTCCACAGTTCGCCACCACTTTTACGGTGTCGCAAAAGAAAACAAATTTTAAACCCATGCAATGAAAAACACTTACCGGACAATCCAGCGGCGGCGACCGTCGGAGATCCGATGGAGATACAACAACTTTATTTTGAACAGATGTCAAAAGCAGAAGCGATGCCAAAAGTGGAAGTATGGTGATTCTGCCGAAAAAAACAAAAGGGTTTAGCGTTAGGGTAAAAAAAGGTTAGGTTTAATATTAGACCTAGTCAAAGCTTTGGTTAGAAAAAAAGGCTTAAAAAAAAGCATCTACGGGCCTCAAGCCCATCTCGAGACCTGACAGACCCGACCCGATAGACCCGTATCTCATTTAGCCCGAAGCCCGAAAGCCCGAAGTTTAATGGGCCTATATTTTTAGACCCAAGTCATTATTTTCGGGCGGGTTCGGACCGGGTTTTGGGCTTTGGGCTTAATTGACAGCCTTAGTCATATGGTACTATGTTTACATGGTCACATGATACTGTATTAACATGATCACATGGTACTATGTTCACATGGTCACATGGTATCATACTAACATGGTCACACGGTCACATGATTCATAATAGTAGGATTGGTAATAATGGTCACATGGTGAAGAATTCACATGGTCACAATTTCACGTGGTCACGTGGTCCAGAATAGTCAGAATGGTAATAATGGTCACATGGTCACATGGTATTATATTCACATGGTTATATGGTCACAGAGTCCAGAATAGTTGAATTGATCTGCATTTTGTGTTTGTGCTTTCTACAATTACGATGGACGGGCAAGATGAGAGATCGACAATTGTATACTTTTTGTATGTGGATATTGAATAAAAATGGAGAATATGAATGGGAAGGAAAGTTTATGGAAAATCAAATATTGTTGTTCTTTTACCCCCTGTGAGGATAACCTACAGTGAACTTATTCGAGAGTTATGTGCTGAGATGAAGGTGGAGAAAGTTAAAACGGATCGGAGATCAGATTGAGTTATTTGCCAAATGTCAAGGAAAACAGAAAGCCGACTTATGTATGGAATGACAAACACATTCATATTTATATGTTGGATAAAATAAATGAAATGCGATGTATGCTTTATGTGGAGATAGAAGAGTTACGTATGAAAATTGATGGTGAACAATGTTGAAGACACGATTATCAAACACGTGATAGACGACGAAAGGGTTTGCATGGATTGCATGGAGCACTCAAAGATTGTAGCCAAGTCACCAAACAATGTCACTCATCGATGGAATATTCTAGACGGTGCCAAATCACCTCATATAATCAATCAACACATTACCAACAGGAGACAATCAAGACTATTTCCATAAGAGCTCCACCTTCCATATTCTCAATAGCCGTTGGTCTTCTTTCCTTTTGTATTTAAATTCCATTATGATGACAGATAAGATTTACTCTCCATTTAGGATAGTTTACATTATTTCTTGATATTATATCTGTTACCTTCTTGTATATAAATATAGTTTTTATAATGACGTAAATTAAAAATATAAGGGGACAATGTCCCAACTTATGCAAACATTTTTCGGTCACCACTTCTTCTTCTTTATTCTAGTTCAATTATTTTTTTTTCTTCTCTTCATAATCAAACACCAAAACACACAAAAGTTATATGGTATCAGAGCATAAGGTCTAGAGGACCTTGTGTTTTTCGTTCCGCTACAAAATCAAAGCATATTCCCTCTCGATTTTGAATATATCGAAGAGGAGCATGCTTGTTTTATACATACATATTATTTTTTTTTGTCCCTTTTAGGCCATTCATTCAAGCCAAAAGCAGATTCTTCTTAAAATGTTTCGTCGGCTTTTCATTCAAGCCACGATCCACCACTCTCTACAATAATATGTGGAGTTCCTGGGATAGTTGTTGTGGTCCTTTAGAAGATGAAGACGGTAATCATTGCACCTATATCGAGAATGAAAATGGTGAGGTAGAACAAATATGGTCAACCAAGGAAGAGGTGTAAGCATTTCATAAGCTTTCTATCGAAGACCTCCAAGCAATGTGTATGGATGAAGACCATACCTAGAAAAAGATTGTGAGGGAGAATGGGATATACAAGAAGACATCCTTGATCAACTCCCATTACAAGTCAAGGAGGTTTTGTTCACATACCTCCAAGAACACAATATTCGGTTAACTTCTCAACTCATTAAATTTCTTTTTAATTCTAATGAGTTTGTTGACTTGATTAAGAAAAACCATGAAGAAACCACAAAAAGCTCGATCTACATCGAGACTTTGGTGCCGGATATAATCAAAGAGGAAGAAAAAGTACAAGATGAATCGGTTACAGGGGTGAGAGAGAAAACAGAGAGAAACAGAGATGTGACAGCCCGAATATCGTAGGAGGATGGAGAGTGATCATCGGTGCGAGAGGCACGAAAAAGGAATAGCTCCTGATCGAGCTTCTGGATAGGGGTACAGAGATGAATCGAACCCACCAGAATGAGAGGGATCGAGGGTTGTATAGCCATGGGACTACACAGTCACATATAACTTAAAGGAATTGATTGAACTACCCATAACAACAAGATGTATCTACTTTTTTGGTTGACCATCTCGAGAGAACTCCAAAGTTAAGCATGCTCGCTTTGGATTAGTCTTACGATGGATGACCTCCGGGGAAGTACTTTTCAGGATGTGTGCAAGCGAGGACAAAATACGCTAAAAGGTCTCGTGTTGGTGTGTGAGGATAACTTTGACATTCCGTAGCGGCCTCGGATCGTTACAAATGGTATCAGAGCCAGTACTCTCCGAGTACGGTGGACAAACCAAGCATAAGCTGGTGGGCCTGTGACAGCCCGAGTATCGTAGAAGGATAGGGAGTGAACGCCGGTGTGAGAGGCACAGACAAAGAGGGGTTCTTGATCGAGCTTCTGGGTAGGGGTACATGGATGAATCGAACGCACCAAAATGAGAGAGATCCAAGGGTTGTGTAGGTATGGGACTACACAGTCACAGATAACTTAAAAGAATTGATTGAACTATTCATAATAACAAGATGTATATGTATCTTTTCGGTTGACCATCTCGAGAGAACTCCAAAGTTAATCATACTCGCTTTGTAGTAGTGTTAGGATGGGTAACTTCCTATGAAATACTTTCTAGGATATGTGCGAGTGAAGATAAAACACGCTAAAAAGTCTTGTGTTGGCGTGTGAGGAAAAGTTTGATATTCCGTAGTAGTCTCGAATCGTTATAACAGATGAGAGAGAGTGAATTGGGGAATTTCTGATTATATTCATCACTGAATTGTACATTCGATTAAATACATCTCACCCATGAACTTCATAATTGTCATAACTAACTTCTAATCGAATGTTATATATATACGTAATATATACAAATAAAACATATGTATATATTTACATTTAGAGAAAATTCTATTAAAAACCCTATATACTTTTTTTTAAAATTTGGTAAACACTATACTTGTCAAATATTACAATAAAATACCCATACTTTCTAAACGGAGGCAATTTAAAACCCTCACGTTAAACGATGTTAAAATCGTAAATTCTAT